TGACTTGGAAACCCCTTTTAATTTTGACAATCTTTCTTGCGTAATTACTTTTTCCATGTGAATAAAAGTTGTTGAGGATGATAATAAGAAACCATAGAATCAAAAACCACTTCTAAATGTTAAGAATTGAGATAGTTATGCACTTGTGATCAAGAAATCAAGAACTTGTCCAATTAGGTCAAACTTCTTCAATCAACTCTTGCATCTTTTGACTTTCTTTGACAAATTGAGGCATGATGAATCATAGTAGAGTTTTTCATGATATTACTTTAAAGCATATTCAATGATGAAGCTTGAATCTCAATGAAGCTTTTTTGAAGAAGGCGTGGAAATAAACTCATGAACCTATAAACCAACCTGATGAAATGTGTTGTGCCATCACCTATAGTACCATCCATTAGAGCAAACATTCATTGCATTTGTTATTTTAAAAGTTAATCAATACAAAACAAATATGATCACAATATACAAATTAGGGTGCTTGGTGATTCCTCGTGAGCAAACCTAAAGATAGGGAGAAGAACCAAACCCTAGTGTGATCTTGTTATGATTGAGTTGATATGAGATGATAGAGGAATCTTAGGGGGAAAATTTGGGTTATAACAATATTTCATGTTATACGTGCATATGGGTGTACGTTATCGTGTTTATTTGTCTAGTTTATAACTGATGCAGGTGTACTGTTGTATGTGAATGTGTACGCTACACATTCTGACCATTGTTTTCTGATATCTTGACAAACATTCTAATTGGATGTTGTTGATTGGTTTTAGATAGTTTGAAGTTGCTCGTAGTGCTTTCGTTGTTTGCTTGCTACAAACTCTTGTTTGTTTAGTAGTCCATTACCATTATATTTATATTTTGCATTTTACAGCTTTCTTTACCGCTTTCTAGAGGTCATGAGAAGTAGGAACAAAATTATATGACAGGGACTTCTGATGTTGATCATGTTAGAAATACCTTTGGTTTATTTAAAGACCTGTTTAAGGCAATTCCGCAATTGTTTTCTAATTGTATTTGTGGCTTGTTTAAAGTCATACCTTTGAAGTAGGCATTTTGCAGTGTGTTTTATATTTGTGCTCAAAGACCTCGGAGAAAGCAAGCGGTCAAGGGTTCGAAATTAACCCCCACACTTCATTTGTGTCATCCTAAGCTCGTGAAGCACCACGATGTTTTGGAGTGCAACTTTTGTTATCGAGTCGGACGGATGGAAAAGGGATTTGTAATCTATCCCTTATACTTTATCTTGAGCTCACCTTGATTGACGTTGACGCTTCGTGTTTTATCACTCTCCCCCTTACTCTTCTTGCATGGTAATGCGATACCATGGTAAAGACGTTTATATTCCCACAGACAGCTTATTTGCCTCAGTTGATACGATCTCTTGGCTAAAGCTTCCTATTTCCTACCTCGATGCGTAATATCTTGGTTAGGCCTTTGTGACTTGAGCTAGCGTGCACTTCTCATGACATATGTGTGCTCTCTTGATCCTATGGATTGTTTGTTTGTTTTATCTTTGTATATACCATATTTCCTTAGGCTTTGAACCATTGTATGTTCCCTTAGGATTGCTCGATTAGGGTAGCTTCCGAGCTAGACATTAGGATAGGTATCCATGCATGCTAACTTAGGTAGATATTTTCCTTTCATCCTTTACCTTAGGACCATCATTTCATGATAACATTAGGGATTATAGATAGGTTAGACTCCTTTAGTTGCTTTTCTCTCTTTTTTGTATCTTTAAGACTAAAACCTTCTTCTTGGCAAATGCATAAAATATCTAACAACTATCAAATCCTCTTTCAATGTAAAAAACACCAACCAAATCAAACCTTTTTTCCATCTTCGGGCTTTGCAACAAAACTAATCAACTTTTCAAAAAGAACATGTTAATTCACTTCTGTGCTAACGCGTGAATCTCCAAAGGTCGAGTTGCGGAAGAAGGCGAAATTAATATTGTTCATTAAAAAACACAAAACAAACTGAAACATGTGAGCCGAACTACGATGCTCTGATTCCTTAAAAAGGATACATAGGCATCTGGTCACGGGGCTCATCCGAGTGAAACTTTGTAAATATTTCCTTTTTTTCCTCGTATTTTCTTTTGCATGCATTCCCTCTTTGCATTTTTCCTTTAGCTCGTAAGCGTAGATTTGGAACACACCCTTTGATTAGAACAACAAGAGTGAATAATGTAGACTACTATGGGTATGTGGGGTGCTATTATCTTCCCCTCGCGTAACAAAATCCCTTACCCGATCTCTTGGTCGTTCGACCTTGATTTACCCTTCTCATGTTTACTCGATGTTCATCTTTCCCTTCCTGTGGGATAAAAATGGTCGATGGCGACTTCACTGATTTCATCTTGATGATATGTTCAGCCGGTTATTTCACGTATCAAATTTTAGAAAAAGGGGGGAATGTTGCGTATAGAGTGGCCTTGCCACCTAATCTATCAAATTTATATGATGTATTCCATGTGTCGCAACTCTGAAAGTATATTTCAAATTTGTCGCATGTAATCTTGATGGATGATGTACAAGTGCGAGATAATCTTACTGTTGAAACCGTACTTGTGAGGATCTAGGATTGTGAAATAAAGAAGCTGGGGGGTAAAGAGATCACTCTTGTGAAAGTGGTTTGGGAAGGAGCTGCGGGAGAGAGCGCGGCGTGGGAATGGGAGAGAAAGATGCGAGAGGCTTATCCAGAGTTATTCGCATCAGGTAATTTTTTATGACGAAAATATTCTAAGTGGGAGAGAGTTATAACACCCTGATTTCGTTGAATTATTTTATTTAAATTAATTAGATGATGTGATGTATTTGTGATGCTTTTGTTGGGAATTAGAGGCCTTAGGAATTATTAGAGTTGAGATCATGAGGGATGTATGACCAAAAGTGTAGAAACATGGGGTGTAGAGAGATAACTAATTATTAGCATTATTTAGATTAAAATATTAGATTTAATACTATAATAATAATTAAATAGAATTATTATTATTTTATGGTTATTTAGATAATTATTTATTTAAATGGGAAGAGAAATGTTCGTATTATGGTTTAGGGGTCCTTAGAATAAAATAGAGTGAGAATAGAGAAGAGGAAAAATAACATAGAAAAGAAGAATAGAGAAGATCGTAGAAGAGAGAAGAAGAGGAAGAAGCTAGGACAAAAAGGTTCATTGTAAGAGTCAAGAATCGACAAAATCTAAGGTAAGGGTGGGCTTCTAACACTATAAGGGATTGCATAATAATGGAGTATGATAGTGTTTAGGTCCCATGAATTTGTATTCTTGATTCTCTCTATTTTTGCTTAATTATGGTTTTTTCCATTGATGAATTCTTTGATGCATTTTGTGTGTTATTGTTGAAATTTGATGATGAATATTGAATGGAAAGGATGGTCAATGTTGGTAAATAATTAGTGTAATTAGAAGATACTGTTTTGATTGAAATGTTGGGGATTAGGGTTTTAAAACATGGATTTTCGCAACCTGTAAAATTGCAGATTTTTAAACTCTGCAACAGGTATAACCGGGTACGGCATAGAGGGTAACCGGTTACCCTGTGCAATTTTGGGAAAACTGGGCAAAAATATGAATGTGTGTCTGGGTACGGTATAAGTGGAAATTGGTTACCCAACTGAATAGTAGCGTGGTAATTCTGAAACAGATGGGTGTAACCGATTTTCCTCCTAGCAGCAACCGGTTACCACTGAAATGTTAATTTTTTTCAAAATTTGTAAATTGCATAACTTTTGTCCCGAGTGTCCGTTTGACGCGCCGTTTGGACCGTTGGAAAGCTAAAATTGTTTTCTATCCTATTAAAATAAACTGGAACACAGTAGTTAATTATTCGACCAACATTGATGCCTATCTATGTATATTTCTGAGTAATGTGTCATGAATTGAGATGCGATTGAGTAAGATGATGTATGAATAATTCGATTGTTTTACATAATGTATTGCATGATAATGATGATGACGATGGCCTGTATTGGCGTGGCATTGATGAGTAAGAATAATCAATGTGAATTACGTTGTTGCATGTCAGTGCCACATGCATTCGTGAACGATGACATGTATTGACGAACGATGGCATGTATTGGTGAACGATGACCTGTATTGGTGTTACGATGTTGTTGCCCTAGGTTGGCATTATTAAGATGAGGGTTTTTCCCTATTGGTACCACATGCATTGAGTCAGTGTCAGTCTCATTGCATTACATTATGATTGTTAACTTGATCTTTTGATGCCAAAAGAATATGATCCACATTATGATGAGTTTTATATGTTGTAGGTATATTCACTTGTATGTTGATATAATTTTGTAGTATGATGGATGAAGTAAAGGTGTGACGTAAAAAAGCATATTTATGCATACTTAAATTACTATCTACTTATTATTATGCTCGCTTTTATATTGTTATGATATCACACCCCTTCTATTTGAATATTGCCTCTACGTGGGTAACATGTAGATGATCCTAAGTAGCTCGAGGTAGAGTCTCACTGAGAAGTGCCTCATTTTACGTATATTAAGTCGGTGGTCAGCTCTGATACGTAACATGTCGGGGTTTCACGTTTGTTTTATTATGATGGAAGTAAACTATTGTAAAACTCTACTTTGTTGGATTTATTTGATGATGCATGTTGAAGTTTGAATTATGATAATTATAACTCATGTTAAAGAGTTAAAAATAACTGTTGTTGATGTTTTCCGTTGCGAATAAATAAAATAAAGATCAGACTTGGTGAACATGTGATTATGTATTGCATATCTTATTATATGAGCATGTGTCTATGTATGAAGATGTGACATCCTATTCTTCTATGTTTTATTTTATGAATTAATTTACTTTAATTTTTGGTTAAATTACCGACAAGGAAATAGGGTGTTACACCATCTGTTGGCGACGATGACCTGTCTGTTCCGTTGAGTTCTCCTAGTATTAGATATATATGATTCAAAACTCAATCCAATCAGTTATGAATTTGATCAATGCATATCAATAGGTTAATATATATTTATAAACAAATAACTCTTAGCTGTTTATTCCTGCAGGATCCCAGGGCTAATAAAAGTTCTACTTCCAGTGCTAGATCAAAATCTGATTCAGCATGTAGTTATCATAACGCTATCAACTACCAGAATTTGCTGAGCATTCATCCTGCACCCAAAGTTCCTCAATTTTGGATTGAAACTCCCTTTCCTTCTCCAAAGGTAAAGAAACTGATTTTTTCAAGGCAAACTCTTTTGACTTTATCTGGTCTTGCCATAAACGAATCATTTAATTAGCTAGCGATCATTTGTCAAAAGTAAATTAGTTCTATCCTGGAAAAATGCAGTGGAGTGAAAATAATGATAAGGAATCAATTAGTATAAATGAAATTTAAGTTAAAGTGTAATAAAGGGTGTTTAGTGACATGTCTCATTTTTAGTTAGGTAGTTGATTAGTAAACATTAAAGAGTGCAATCCACTAAAGATGAAACTGACCTATTTAAAGCGGCGGATGACAAGCATATTGATGGGGCAATACGACATCTTAGTTTCAAGCTCTCTGCATAAAAAACCCCAATGTTTGCATCACAAAATGAAGCAAATATTAACTGACTGTTGCAGGAATACGCCGCATATGATATGGGAGCAAGCAAAACATCTTGGAGAATCCACTGCAGCAAAAGTATTTATGAGCATATCTCCGTTCCAATTTTGTCAACAACCAGCAGTTCTCTACGAATATGGAGAGAAACTTACCTGCCGAAAATTGAAACAATTCAGTAACTTCAATTCACTAATTTATGAGAAACATGGACAGAAACATGAACATTTATCATTCAGAACTCTTCTACCTTTTCGTAGCTAGAAGAGGATCTGAGGAGAACAACAACAAATATCATAATGCTAGGTTCAAGTGTTCCTATGCATTGTTGTATGACATTCTGGGAAAGCTTCCTTGCGGCTGCAGTAACATCCTGCTACTAAAATGTATAAGCAAATTGTATGTTCTTGTATAAGATTAGAGATGGCGTAAAAGACAAGATTCATCATCCAAGAGCATAAACCACCTCCCAATTAAAGGAAAAAGCAAAAGAGACATCTCAATATAATATAAACAGTGAGATATAGATTAAAACCAACGTGTCATGAGAGTTTTCTGGATAATTGGAAGTTCTCATTTAGTTTGAAACCCATCCATGACACGTAGTCTAATATAGATCTGTTTCTTAAAAGACTCAAAATTGAAAACCTAATAGCTAAATGATTCTACATGATGGAATTAGCATTTGGTCATGCTATCAAATAGAAATTTCATTAAATAAGTAAACAACTCTAGCAAACAGTTTTTTTACTGCTTGAATAAGACACTTTCATAACATGTTATCTTACATGGTTGGTACATTAGTTAATATATATTGACTACAACCATTTAATTCAATATGCCTAATGACTTTGGAACATAAATAAGATTCGAACCTATCAATCTTTATGCTATTTAAGTGGAATATATAGATCACGGTATATAGGATCAATGATTGTTTAAAAGTATTATGATTGATTTATTATAAAAGTCAGCATGAACTTATTGTGTATTTAAATTATGGTTATGAACATCAACAAATGACATCCTAAATGTTGATAGTCTCAGTCAATTAAATAGATTCAAGAGTACATGTTCATACTTAAATTAAGTGTGTTGTGCATTCCCATTATAATTATAATATAATTCACATGACAAGGTGCAAGACCAAACTAACAGACAAACCCCAACTTCAACCACGGAATGTTTGAGTAAATATATTACAATACAGAGATTGATTTCACGTTATTCATTTATCCAATTTTAATAAATGAAAATTATGAACTTCTACATAAGTAGAAAATAATCGACCAGACAAGCTACAGGAACAACTGTATTTCCATAGAATAGGTCAAGCAAAGCATACCTTCATCCAAGTCAAGAGCAAAATTATTCAGTCAAGAATGGTGGAAGGATCAATAATGGTGTTACAGAAATATACAAATCCATTCCAGTCAAACTCGGCCTATATGCCTACACTAAAATCAGCTAACAGAAATTTTTTAAGCTGCAGCAGCCCATCAGCTTACTTCATACGTCCCAGACTGATCAGTTGTAGGCACATCATAACACTTTCAAGACTATAGACCCATGGATCCATAACAGTCTACTTAAATTAAGCTCTACTTCAGTCTAGAACCATCAAGCCTATTGTTCCAAACTACAGCAGAAAACAACGAGAATCATCATTAACATATCTTCATGTTTTCAACACTTTTCTCAGGAGACTTCTGAGCAGCATGAAATTCATAAATATTCCTGTATGAGACATTGAAAGCTTCCTTAATAGATGGACCAAGCTGCAAAAATATAGAAATATTGCTGTATGAGACATTGAAAGCTTCCTTATATTCTCTTCTCTTTTACAAACAGAAGAATTAAAAGATATAGTTGTGAACAGTTACTATCTTTTCTTCATCACCAACTTCTTTAGGTAACCAAAGGAAAGCCTTTGACAGTAACTTAAGGTGACTGAATATTAGTTTGTTCACAGTAACCAGAAACTCTTGGCTTGAAATCGAAACCACGACTCACAAGTAGATCTCCATCTTCTTCTTCGTTTGAAATCGAAATCACAACCCATAAACAATCTACATCTTCTTCTTCGCGTGAACTCAAAATCACATCCCACAAAACACATACATTAAAAACTCTGCATCAACCATGAAAATGGAAGATGTCAAAACACAATAAAACATACAAAGATATCTCTACCTCTAAATATGATTTGAACAAAAACTCAACAGGTGATTAATCAGAAAAACTTTAGAAACTTTCATTTCAAACCAACAACAAACAACCGAAAAATGTAAAAAAGAAGAAAACCCACTGAAACATGATTTTGCCCTAAAAAATCAAGAACCAAGAACAAAGCATTCACTTGAAAAAAAAGATACAATCTTTCGGTGCAAATTCAAGATCTGTCTACGAAAATGGATCGGAGAAGAAGAATAGAGAAAACAGACGCACTTACATGAGGAACAGAGACAGAGATAAAGATGGTAGATGAGAAAGAGAGAGAAGAAGAGAGAAAGAGCGTATTTTTTTACCCATGTGCCTTCAAAATTTGAAAAAAAAATAGAGATCTGGTTAGAGGAATGGTAGAGGGCTATGTATCCAGCTCTCTTAAATTCTTTTTATCCGGATAAAAAAGTGTGCTTTGAATATTGTATTCTTTTGAAATTTCACAATAGAAAAGCTATGCCACTTAAATCAAAATTGATCAGTTTCATTGGAACTAAAATTCATTTAGTCAATTATCAATATAGACATCATTTAGTCTAAATGATTTTTGTAATTAAAAATAGATTAGAGAGATTGATAGCATCTTCTAATTTTAATTAAAAAATTAATATTTAAAATTATAAATCGTAATATTTAAAATTAAATATAATATTTGATAAATATATAAAAAATTTAATATGCCAGTATAGTAATTATAAACTATATATATATATATATATATATATATATATATATATATATATATATATATATATATATATATATATATATATATATATATATATATATATATATATATATATATATATATATATATATATATATATATATATATATATATATATATATATATATATATATATATATATATATATATATATATATATATATATATATATATATATATATATATAGTTCTGGACTGGGCCTACTCTGGTCCAAAGCGCAGATAAAGGCTCAATTCAAATAGACTCTTCGAGCAATGCGCGCCCGTGGATCACCGCCGACGTGCCCGACCACAGAATATAGCCGCGATGCCCGCCATTGCCCGCGACACATAGTGTTTCCGACCAAGGGAACTCCAGCTCGAGTCTTGCTCGAGCACCCTCTCCGTAGGGCAGATTCTGTCTATTCTGACCGTTATCGAATCCTATAAACTCTGGAAAGACCGCATCTTCGTCCCTCCTCATTCTTCGCAGAGCACCACCAGGAAGGGGACCACGTGCAGGGTCCCACTACACACGTAGAACCTGACAGTTCCTTTATTGGGCCAGTTCTAGTCAGCCCAATGAGGGGACCTTGGCCCAGCGCTGGGGGCTATAAATATCCTTTGTTCCTAGAGGGTCAGGTATTCATCTATTACGCACCTATACATTTTTTGCCTGCTCTTTCCGTCACTCATTTTAGCATGGGAGTGTCTTGCAGGTACCTGTTTCCAGTGATTTCTGGTAAACAACCGCTAGTCTTCCAAACTATCGAATAATCTTTCTTACTGCTATTCAATCTCTCTGGTAACTCACAGGATCGACTAGATTGATCCTAGGATTCCTTGGATATTAAGGTTACTCTCACAATCGAACAGATATTCATGGTCAATATTGTATAGGTGTTTGGCTTGTTTCGATCTCTCTCTCTAAGAGTTTTAAAGATGTAATCAAAATGTTTATGAGAATTAAGTTATACGAATAGATGCTGATTGTAATGCTAAATTGTAAAGACATATGAAACTGCATGAAAATGAAGTAAATGGTTTCGACTTACAAAAACGGTTAACATAAAGGGTTTCTGGAATATAAAAGTTTTAAAGGAAAGAGAAAACGTTTAATGCAAGAAATCTATAAATGATTTTAAGTAAAAGTATGCGTTCGAAGGACAAGACTTGAATGTAAAGGTATGGAAAATGTGATAGCTTTCAGAAATATAAAATGCTCGAAACATAAAGAAGATAATAAAATGTAAAACTTTGAGGAAGAGACTTCGAAGTGAAAAGACTGTAGATAAGAAACTTGTAAATGTTGTTTGACAAAAGGAATAAAGGAAAGTATTGGAAATGGTAAAAGGTTTTCATTAAATCAGAAATACATGGTGTTATCATACATACATTTCTCTTGCATTCGTTTCCCTTGCCATGTGGTAGTTTGAATGTTATTGAGTACTTTGTATAATAGATATGACACACTGAAATCCTAATACTAAGACTTCTATTTATACTAATTCGACCCTAACGGTCTCGCTATAGGATTATGCCACGTTTCGAACATGCAAGACAATGCTTCTTTCATCTTTCCACGTGTCCCCAAATGCTCCAACACATAACTTTCAAACTTTGAAAGTCCCGCTCCCATTTGAATTTAAAATACTTTGGTGTTTCTCCGTTTCGAACGCTTTTCCCAAACATAGCCTCGCTGTTGTTTCGAGACTCCTTTGGATATGTTCCCATAATTGCCGCTCGAAGCTTCAAGCTTTGACACACTTATTCGAAACACTGCTTCTGCAACTTCGAAATATGGCGTTTTAATTCCATTTCGATCAGAACGTTTAACTCCTTTGTCTTATAAATAACATTATCAAAATCTTCAGCCAACAAATTGCCCCTTTAAAATATGTATTTCGATTCCTTTGAGAAATACCTATTTTAAACATTTACACAAGATTTTGATAGGACTTTCGAATCATCGTAACATTTAATGCATTTGACTCCAGTCACATCAATCACAACACCTTTTGGATTCCTTAACCGCCCGGAGTCACTTCACAGCGTGGTGCAGTTATAAGTAATGATTATCTTTTAAATCACGCCTATTACCTATATCAACTTCACGCCACCTCTTCATCACACCAACCCATGATCTCCACGTATCACACTTCTATTCGGTGGATGCTTAAACTTCCCCATTATAAAACATCAACTTAATCTTCTTCTTTTCTTTTCACACTCTAAACCTTTCATACTCTGAATTTTTACCCTCCTTCTCTCATAAAACAATCTAAGCTTTCAAACATCTTCCAAAATGTCTTCTTCTACTTCATCTCAACTCAAGAAAGTCTCCAAGAAGAAAGGAAAAACTACAGGAGCTCCCATGGAGAGTAAAATCATCACCATTCAAGGCCAATCTGCTCTTGCTCCTCAAATGATTTCCAAAGAAAAAGAAATGATGTACGCATCACAGGTACTCATTCCTACCCACGTTGCTGGTAAGAGGTTAGCCTTAAATGGCCCTCTTACGGTTTTTGAAATATTAAAGGACACCAGGACAATTTTTCCCGTCTGTTATAGCTTCAAACCTTTATTCAACAAAATGGATGCCCCTAGGGCAGTAGAATCTCTTAGTTCAAATACCGTAGAAACCCCAACTGTTCCTCCCAAGGACCCCTTTGTTTTGGATTATGTAAAAAGCAATTTTAAACCATTTCGATCCTGCCCTACTTCTGATATTGCTTATCAAAATTGGTTCACAAAAGTAGAAGCCAAGAAATCCCAGCAATGGGAAGAATTAGGCATTTATAACCTAATTAAGCTATCGAAACCCGGATTCACCTACAGCCATCCTCTGCTATTCGCGTCCCTTTACTTCTGGGATAGTACCTACAACACTTTCCATCTCCCAGGTGGAATGATCACCCCCACCTTCTTCGATATAGCGGCCATTACTGGGCTGTCGCCAGTGGGAGAAACTTATGTTCCTGACAACGAAGAGCACTCAAGCATAATTGACTTCGAAGTCAAGTTAGCCAGCTTTTCCAAATTTATCAGCCATTATCATGCTGAAGGGGATAATGTGTCTAACGTAGAGCACATTGCTTTTTTAACCCTGTGGCTGTCTAGATACGTTTTCTGCAGTAGATCCCTGCAGGTGGCTAGTAGGTTCATTCCTCTAGCTAGGGATTTACATGAAAATCGAAAAGTGTGCCTAAGTGAATTACTCTTAGTTGACCTCTATGAAAGCCTGAGGTCAGCTGTTTCGAGCCTCAAATCCCACACCTCGAAAAACATTTTATTGGCTGGCCCATTCTGGTTACTCCAACTATGGTTAAATGCCATGTTCGAACCCTCTTTATCAACCGCCAATACCATTGATGAGCAAGATTCTGAAATAAGTGATAGGATAGTCGAAGGCACTAGGCTTCGAAGACTAACTCCTAATGATGACAAAGATGACTTCAAGGTTCAATTCTCGAAGTACATCATGATATTCTCCAAAAGGCACAAGTTCGAAGAGAGCATGGCGCCTTTTGCTTCGAGGGCTCATGGACCTTCTTGGTTCACCATGGCTCTCTCAGAAGCCATTAAGAGCAAGGAGATTCAGGATGTATGGAGAGCTTTCTTGCTGCCTAGACTCATCTCTTCAAGGATAACCCCAGCCAAGAACCAAATTCTTCTCTTTGCCTACCAACCAAACTTCGTTTCGAGGCAGTTTGGCTTATGCCAACTGATTCCTGAACCTTTGTTCCAAACTGAGAGCGCCATCACTTCTGGACGAACTTTCAAGGCAAGGGAAGCCAAGATCCAGCAAGAACAATATCAAGGCTTTGCCCAATTTGAGCTGATAGCCTTCGAACCTACCCATCTCGCGGCTAAAGGATTTCTGGAGTGCTGGATTAAGTTTTATCAAACTTATATGTTCGATACACTTACAATTCGACAGAAACTAATTGATGCCTTCGATGTGCAGGTACCAGCAAAGAAAGGTATGTTTACTCATGCCAAAGAGATTAAAGCTTTTCAAAATTATTTTGAAACTACTTACGACCCCACGCGCTTGGACTCCACTGTGCATCAAGCAGCTGAGACCTTGAAGGAAAAATTTAAACAAAAAGTTTCTAAGCTAAAACTTCCTTCAGGGCTGTCACTTGAGGATAGGTATAGGTTGGCATTCGAAATGCATCCACCTAAATTTCCCAGATTACCTACCTCAGAACTGGCTCTGGCTTGGTTTCCTCCATATCCATGGTGGTTTACTTGCAAAGAGATGTTCAAATATCTTCAAAGGAAACCAAAGCCATCTGAGACTGTGACATGGGCTCGATACTGGCTTCATGATTTCCCAGGACACCTTCGATACGACCTTTCTGCCATGTCAATTAAATCTGATCAAGGCACAGGTGCGAATGCTTGGGAAAAATCCCAAATGTCTTTTATTTTCCATATCTTTAACCTTTGCTTTAATTGTTTTGATTTTCAGCTATCAGGATAAAGACAGCTGCCTCGAAATCGAAGGAAGGGAGTGCCTCTCAAGCCTCCATCGAAACTACCGAAAAAGCTAATCCACCCGAAACAACTACTACTGCTGCAACTACAACAACAACAA